ATATACATATATATATCGGAATATGTATATCACAATATATCACAATATATATATTTTATATATATATATATATATATATATACATACATACACACACACACACACATATATATATATGTATATATACATATAAATACATATATACATACATACAGACATACATACATACATATATATATATACACTTATGCATGTCTATATATATACATATATATATATATATACACTTAAGCATTGTTTACTGATACTGCTCGTTCTTGTTAGCTTTGTAGCAGCTGGGGCCCGCCACACTGGCTGAATGGCAGCAACAGACGACAGACCAACCGTCAAAATCGTTCATACTCGCGCATGCATAGAGACACCCTTTAGCATCATAAGGTATACATGAGGATAAATCTGCACAAACACTGTCCATTGCACACATACTATCCACTGCACTACGGCCGGTGTATATGTGACATTGTCCAACACAATCATTGTCACATCACACCACAGTGACGGCTACATCTACATCAACAGTCACACAAAGCGCAGAGGACACCCCAATAAAATACAGAGCTGATAGCAGCCACCATGCTGTCTGCGCCTCGAGACCCAAGAATAAGGGCACGGGTGCGTGCGAGTAGTATAAATGGGGTGCAATACCCAAAAGGTGTGAATATGAAAATGCCACAGATGAGCCCTAAGCAAGCGACAGAGTCGCAACCGACAAGTGACGAACATGGCAGCGCGCCAGAGCAAGGCTTATACACACACATACGCGATAGCCCAAGTTTTTCTGAGCCAGATGCAGGTTTTTTCCATACATATGGGGCCCAGAGTAGGTGTGTGGCTGCGAAGGCAGCGACGGTTATGACATCGGATGAAGCCGAGTTTCAGTGCTTGGCTGCACTGCACAAGCCAGAAAAACTACGGAAGTGGCCTGTGCCTTATGAGGGGGTGTTGTTTCCCCCATCTTTACCTACCATGGACGGTACACTCTCCCCGCTCATGCAGTTCGATGCTATACAGAAGTACAAGCCTTTACTTAGGGCGTATGCTTCAGAATTGGAGAAGCAGGCCCGGCGGGTGTATGGCGCTGCGTTTGATGTTTATGCCGAGGCAGCACCGGTGCCGAGTGCTACAACGGCGTACATCACTGAAACGTATGGGATGCACAAAGGCCCCGTACAGACCCATACAGCGCAAGAGGAGACACTATCGACACACACAGCCATAGATGCGATGGCTGTGAGAGTTAAAGCAGATACCAGCGCCACACAGGTTGGAACGGTTGATCTGCAGCTGAGTCCACGGGAAACGCATGGGGGCTTTAACGCCCAGACAGCGAACTCGCACACACGCATAGCGGAGGTCGAGACAAAGCTGGGGAAAGCGGTACCACTTAACTGTAGACAGTCCGGGACATGGCTTTCTGAGGCTGAAGAGAATACCACCTCAGCGCAGGCAAACAGTGTGCAGAGGTATGCAGGCCGCTCTCAGGGCGATTCTGCACTCTCGTCGAATGCTGTGGCCGGAGATGCCGCCCTGGGCATTGAACAAGTAAGGAATTGGGCGTGTTTGTGTGTCTGTGTGTTTGCGCTTGGGCTTGGGCTGTATGTGTTCAGATGTGCTGTGGAAGGATACTATGGAAAGCGGCGGGTGTGTGTGTGCGCATGTGTGTGTGTGTGTTTGTGTTTGAGTGCGTGCGTGTGTCAGAGTGGGGTGCTGGAGAATTGTGTATGTGGTTGGAGGAATTGCTCTTAGTTCTTGGTTACTGATATGCTTCTGTATTCAGATTGATAGGCTGAGGGTCTGTATCACCGGTATATGCTACTATTTAGATGGGGATGTGCAGCAAGCTGTCATGTCTACGTAAAGCCTGTGTCAAACGCACCCAGTTTTGCGTGTCAAGTCAGATATAAATTGTCAATACAAATACAGGCTGATTTTATGTGTAAGCATGTCTTATATGTACAAGTATGATATATCTGCCATATTTAGTATAGAAACCGAAAAAATACACTCACTAATCTTCTGAGGGTCTGCATGGCCTGTATTTGTGATTGTTCTGGGGGTTGAATGATAGTTGGGGATGTATAGCCAGCCATCGACGTATATGTAAAGTCTGTGCTCAACGCACCCAACTCTGCAATTATAAGTCTTGTACATTAGGTCAAATTTAAATTGATAAAAACAGGTTGATTCTAAAAATAATTCGATTCCGTGTTAGAAACAATTTAGTTTCATGTTTAAATCAGGTTATTCCATCCTAAAAGCAGATTGGTTCTATTTGAATGCATGTCTGATACAGATAAGTGGTGCTTAAAATTTGCCATGATAATAGGAGTGTCTGATTCTATTAATTAAATAATATAACAACACTTACCAATCTCCACAAACTCTGCAGGATGGCTCGGGTCCTCCGCCGGGTCGTACTGGGCACACTCGTAGGCTCAAAAGTCAGAGCAATAGGACACACAGGCTCAGCTCTGCCAATGCCACAGGCGCCGTAACCCAGGTCAAAGTGGAACCTGGAGCGAGTTCCGGGCCTTTATTTGGACCTAATACTACACCCACGGCTTTGGTGCCAGCACAGAATGGAGCTCTGGTATGTGCGGAGGACTACACAGTGATCCGTGGCGATACAGACTACCGGACATCCCTGTCCGGTGCCCACAGGACTGGGTGCATCATGACCATTGTCGCGGAGCGAGGTGCAGCCTCCACCTCCACGCTGCAGGCGGTGGCGACGGGCGAGAAACGCGAAGCCAGTACATTCAACTTCGATATTCGCAGTAAGAAGCGGAAGCGGAAGAAGACGGGCAACCGCATCGATCCACTGCACCCAACCCCCGATCCCACGCCCCAAATTCGTCAGAAGTTCTCGAAGAGGCGCGAACCCGCCGCTGACTATGTGGACCCGTCGTATGTGACGCCGAAGCCAATTGTAGGGCCTGTGGGTCGACGTGTGACTCATGGGCATACATCGCCCGTGAAGGCGCTTACGGATACGAGCGGCATGCAGACGCGGGTGGCTGCATTGGCACCACCACACGCATACGCACACGCACACACGCAGGAACGAAGGTATACAGGGAGGCAGGCGGATATGGAGGTGAGACGAGAAGGAGAAGGAGAAGGGGGTCAAGGTAGAGGTGAGCCAGAAGGGATGGATGGGGTTATAGCGGACTATGGGGACAGTGATACTGAGCTGGCAGATATACCAATGCCTGGGGAGGGGCGCATTCAGCGGCTGAAGTTTGAGTACGAAACCAACACCACGCAGACGATGGAAACCAAGCATTGGTGATGGCAGTGCGGGTACTGGGACCTTCACAGTTTGGCTCTAAAAGCTGTATATTCAACGCATTGGTAATATGAATTAACATGGGTCTACAACTGTATATTTAACGTATTGATATTATTAATTAAAATCTGCTATCCCGGTCTTAAGTATTCAGATTTCAGATCTCTCAAATACTACCTCTGTATTACCTCTGTTCCCGTTTCAAGCCAGGGAACAGAGAAAGCTATCCTCATGATCACAGATAGAATCTCATAGTACCTTTCATTGGTATCAATTTAGTATATCTCCACCCACATGGCTACTACACAGAATGCAGTCACCCCTCGTATCGTATTCTCCTGTTCCAATGCATAGATGGGGGGCGGAGGGGGTTTACAAAACTCCTTCATAGTCTCCATATGCAACACTTGAAAACACATGCTCCTTCTCACAGATATATCATATTGTACCTCTTGTTGGTAGCAATGTCGATGCCATCGCCCACACAGAGGGTGGCCACCCCTCGTGCCTTCTTCTCATGTTCGAATGCATACAAAAAGGGGATACAAATACTTTACTCTCACTAACTAAGGTTCATCTACCCTACTTCATGGTATCCCTATGTATCGCCAATCACTCCTGATAGTACGTTCCGTTTCGTTAGTAATAATTTCTGACATTTCGACACACATAGCTATGCCCATGCCACCGCCCACACATAGTGCGGCCACCCCTCGGCGCTTGTTCTCCTGTCTCAGCGCATAGATCAGAGTACACAACACACGCGCCCCAGACGCTCCCAGTGGATGGCCTATGGCAATGGAACCACCTCGTACGTTAACCTGTGCAGAAGGTTGTGCGGAAGGGATGGGTACAGCGAAGAGAGCGGTGGCTGTGATAGCCGAACACCGCTTTGTTTGTACGTACATCTATGTAATAGGCAGATATAGACTTGTTTGTGTATGTGTGCAATATACAGAGATACACAGCACCGTAGTAACCGCGTATGGACGCGTGTCGCAGGTTGTGCATAAATGTCCACTCATACCTTTGCGCTGTCGCAACCGAGTTCGCTCGTGACGACGATACACTGCGCCGCAAATGCTTCGTTGAGCTCAAACAAACCGACATCGTTGATATTCCATTTAGCTTTCTCCAGCGCTTTCCGCACAGCAAGGATAGGGCCACAGCCCATAACCGCGGGGTCTAAACCAACTTGCGTGGTATATATACATATAATAGCATATTAATTCACATTAATGTGTTGTATTAGATAATTTAATAGACGTTTGTCATTGTATTCTTGGCTTTGAGGATAGGGCCGCAGTCCCTGACCGCGGGATCGATACCGAACTGTCTTGTACTGTGGAAGACTGGTTGTGATAGGTGACCAATACTACTCTGTCCATGTGTACTCACTGGGTACTTAATTCTAACACATTTAACAGACGAGAGATGATAGACTCCTGTTAATGAGTTATACATGCATGGTGGGATGCTGATACTCAGGTCATAATTCTGTGCGGGAGTGATGTATGTAGGTAGATAACCGTGTGGCATAACACGTACCAGTACAACGCGTTCAGCAGGTGAATGTAGATGTAATAAGTTATACATGTATGATGTGATGCGGATACTCAGATCTTGATTCTGTTCGGGAGCGATGAAGAGAGTGTTAATTATAAGTACTCCTCGGCAAAAAATCAAGTGTACATGGCTTGGAATTTAGGATCACACTGCTCAAATTCAGGAATACGTGGTCTGAAATTTAGGAGTATATGACTTAAGAATACACTATAATTCAGGACTACGTGCCTCGGAATTTAGGAAAATATGGTTAAAGATCCAGGATAACGTGACTTAGAATCTAGCGAATTATTATCTCATGACTTAGAGGTTAGGATTCCCCGTATCTGCTCATGACTGACCACTCTACAGAGTGGCATGAGACCTTTTGTATCCGCGCAAGTACGCATACTACTGCCTATAACTACATAGTTACACACACACATAAATTAGTAGTCGTTACTCCTCTACGCATGTCTTCCTTTGTATGATCTATGTACACTATAATCTACCTACTTTACTTACCTGCGCGTGACTTACTACTCTACAGAGTGGTGTGAGGCCACTTTCGTGCGCCTGTGCGCGTGTCATCAGCACCACCGCTGCTGCCCCATCGTTCAGTCCTGACGCATTGCCAGCCGTGACAGTTCCCGCCTCGTTATTGAAGGCAGGTCTCAGCTGCAGAGATATGCAGGGGGTAAGGGTTTAGGTATTACCAGTTAGTATCGTACAAAGAGATACAAACGTAAGTACGAGGGTATAGTTAAGCCTAACCAGAAACGAATCTGTAGCTGTCAATAGCTATTCGTTTGTATGATGTACAAACGTAAGTATACTATCAGTACTGCTCGATTTAGTTCTGACGCGCTCCCAGCCGTTACAGTACCCACCTTTTGAAAGTGAGTCATAAATATATATATATATGTATGTATATACACACACACACACACACGCGCGCGCACACACACACACCCACACACACACACA